TTAATAAAGTCATACCAAAATTAAGCTTTTTAATTACAAAATGTAAGACCAGAAAGTTTATGCTAAAATATGACTGTGTCCAGGAAGGACTATTCCAAGCCTGAAAATAATAAAAGTGACACTTATACTACAGCTTAACAGTGACAATCCATTCTTAGATAATACACCAGATTTAAAAGCAAAAGCACTTAAAGCCTTACTGGAGTTGAAGACATCGAGAAAATACATTTGCAAAAAATTGCCAGCACTATGAAAACAAATGTAAGCAAAACAAATGCCAGACTTTCATGGTACGTAGATGAAATGTATTAATTATCATATGAAACTATTGAGTTCAAAACTGCCTTTGAGCCACGCATTTTCCATAGACTTCTCTTTAGCCAAGAAATCTTGATTCCACATTGCCAAGTTTTGAAATCTGTTAATATTCCACACATTATAATGGACAGCATTTCTCCCCACCATCTACACAAAGACATGTATCTATTAAGTGCTGACAGTTAACTTTCACAAGACTCTCGGGCAGATCTGGTCTTTATTCTGTGAATTTACACAAAGTGGGCTGAAGGAGCCAGGAAACTCAACTGGATTTTATTACTATTTAAATAATGAATGTGTGATAGCATTTTACTCTGAAGCGATGGCAAGCCTTGCAGGCAATGCCTCCTTCAGTAAAGGTTTGAAAATGACTTTTGCTTAAATAACAGCTGGCCTTGCCTATCTGGACTTAAATGAGCCATGTGGAGACAAACTTGTTTCAGTTTGGATTAAGAAAGATTAAAAACCATTAATTGTAGTTAATATCTAGTTTGGTCCCTCTACACAAACGTCAAAAATAACATTAAATTACCACGCTTACATACAGTCAATACCAGACACCCAATAAAGCACAAACTCAAAGCCCTGCTTCATAACACAACCAATGAGCACAGTTCCAGCACAAGAGCTCAGCTGCAAGTTAGCCTGAAACAAAGGAGATTTACATTCATTTCTCCACTTTGCTACAGACTTCCTGCATGACCTTGGACAAATCACTTAGTTTTTGTCTGCTCCAACTCCCCATCCCTAAAAGAGGAAAACATTTATTTCATAACCTCACAGCAATAGGCAGATTTATTATCAGGAGATGCTTAGATACAGAGGTCAAATTAATGACAAAGAGAATAAACAGTATGTAAGGCTTTAGTTAACTTCTGTTAAAGCTTTGGTAACTTTGTCACAGTGACACAAATACAGTTTTGGCACAATACTTACAAGTGTTATCTACAAAGATCAGGTCTGCTTACATAGCAAGATGGAACTGCATTTTGACATCTGCAGGCAGACATGGATGCAGACACCCATGACCCAAAGCAAAGACATAACATACACTTCCATCACCAACATATACAGAAGCCCAGAAGCCCAGTCTCTAGGTACCTTGAGTTACAAAATAAGAGTTATAACTTTCTGATACAATACACACTACGAGAAGAAATCACCAGGTACTCAAAAAATTTAAAACACTTTAGGTCCAAACAATTATTCTCTAATTCATATTAGCCACTAACCGACTTCTGAACTCAAAAGCCACATTTAACTTCAGAAGCCAGTATTAACATCAGAACTCAAATCATCTCTGGACAAGAAATTAAAGAGCTCTAGAATGCCAGCCTACTGAAACTGATAAAGAGGAATAAAATCCAGAAGCAGACAAATGCACACATACACTACACTAGGACATTTATGAGGATGGCATTACCTCCATCAGGAACCCATAAATCTCTGACATGTATTAAACATATCTTTTCAGAAAATGTCTTCAAGTTCAAAAATCTATTCTTTGAATGCAGGCCAAACATAGACTGTGTTTTCATGCACATATTCTGCACCTCTGTACAAGTAACTGTATGAGCCTGCATAAAAGTAAATCACAGCCGGGGGACGGAGACATGAAGGGCAAAAGGACTACAAGAAATGATGAAGCAGTCAATGAGGAATGAGCACAGGTAAGCACATGAGGGACAGAAATAAGCTATGGAAAACCAGAAGCAGGGAAACTACTGAGGTGGAGAGGAAGTTCTGGGATAAACTTCCCCTCATATTACCCACATACATGTAAAACCCACACAGCTGCTCAGTCACAGGGTGTTGAGTGTGCTTGCGATTTGGGTTTTGGGGTTGGCTTTTTTTTAAGACAGATGATCTGTGGGTTACAGACATGAAAATACGGTCACTGCAACCTACAAAAATTAAAATGAAACTAAATTGGTTTTAAGCTGGTTTATTTGAAATACCAAATGGTTGTCATTATTTCTAATTGCATCTTAAATGTGCTGTTTTATAAGAAGAAAAATAAAACCATTTTTATTAAAAATCATTTACAACCTAAAGCTTTTTCTTGACGAAAATATATGCAGAGCTACTCTGAGATGTGTTCAATACCTTGAACTCCTATTACTGCTATAAGATTGGAAGAACCACTGCACTCTACAATGAGGAAAAAAAACAAAGCACAGCCAACAATGAACTGCTATCAAACACTGGGCACAGAACAAGGGAAAATACAAAGATGGTGGTGAGGGGTGCAAGAACAAATGCCCAGTAGGAAAACATTTCCAAGGTAACAGAGGATACAGTTTCAGACATACATTTTCAAATCTGACTTCTGAGACTTTGGCACCCCTAATGCTGAGAGGAGAATAGGCAGCACCTCGTATCATATATAGTTCCCTGAACAGATAAGTTTTGAGATTAGTCTTGCAGAAGAGAGTGAGATACCCAAAAGGAGAGGGCTGCCCTCCAGTGACACCTGAAAAAGATCTGTAGGGGCACAAAGGCAGCAGAGAGGCAGGGGGGTGGGGTGTCAAAGGAAAGACAAGGATAAGTGATGTCATGAGGGCAGGAAACAAGTTCTGTAACTATTTAATATTGTATTTATTATTGTATCTGTATTTAATATTTCCCTCTGAGCATGCTAATAATGTGCATGTGAAGGGAGAAAATAAATAAATAAAAGCACTGACACTGTTCGCAGGCTTCCCCTGAGCAAATTTTGGCAACCTTCAAACATCACAGAGTCGCTTGCTCACAAATCTCCTCACGCTCACAAACTGACTACTTCTATTTCTTTTTCCACAAAGGTGGAAGTGCAATAGCTGAAACTCACTGTTGCGGCAATCGGCACCTGCCTAGCCTTTTACAAACCAGCTGCTATAGAAGCAAACTCCCAGTGCTTCACTGTGCAATTCGAGCCTCGTTAGCCATAAGCAGAGATGTCCTTCTTCACTCTCAGCACTGTCTTTACTGAAGTAGGATGACTTCACCCCAAGATGAACAATGCCAAAACTCGTCTGATCACACACACACACAAATCCCTCCACTCACGTTTTCCTACCTATCAACATATTAAAGAGACAGAAACAATTACACCAGTTTCATATATTATCTGCAAGAGTTGCCAGCCTTCACTGTCACTCATTTGAAGGTCGTAAGGAATGCAGAATACTTGTAACTGCATTATGGGCGAAGATTTATCATTACTTATACTATGAACTATTTTTTACCATTAGGAATATTTATAAATATGTATTATATAAATATATATATTGCAAAGTTTAGACTGGGGCCCCAGCACCTTGATCATTCAGAGTCACCTTTCTAGAGAGCAAGTCGCATTGTGCTACTGAGCTGCGCTTCTGGGTTTCTTTCCCACGAAAATCAGGTTATAGTGTGAGGAGAAGGGGAACGCATGTGGACTTCATCCTGACACAAAGCCAGGATGCAAACAGGACAGACACCTCCAGCCCACAAGCTGGAAATTCCTGTAATATTCAGGTAGTCATTACCGTCACTAAACCAATACTGTCACGACTAAAGATTTCAGAGCTCATCGGTTATCTTCTAAACAGCACAAAAATCCCCATATCAGCCTAGACCTCCACTCACATGCCTCCTCCCATCCCTCCTTTCATTAATTACGATCCTTGGGACTCGTACCAAAAGAATGTCTCTGGACCTGTCAAGCTAATTCTTGTGCTAATTGTCCCTGCAGGCTAACAGCAGCAAAATCTTCAATAAAAAGCTTATTGTACATTTCTGGTGGAAACTCAATACTAAAAAGACCAACTTAAACAGCTATTTATAAACAGCTTTTTCTCTGATTTCTGCTATTACAAACATCAAAAGGCCTCAAAATCTCAACCACAGCAAGAAGACAGGAACAGAGTGGTGCTTTGGCAACTGCAGCAAACACAGACCAGACCAAAAGCCACTTTACTCTTGAATGAGCAAGCACAACCAACGATATTACACTAGTACCATCTCCTTTCCAAACGCAACGAGGCTCAGGCAGGTCACCATGCAATGAACTAAATCAACCTGCTGTATGTTTGAAACGAACAGTACAAGCTTCTTAACCATACTTAAAAACAAGATGCCCCATAAACAGCAGCAGAATAACCCTGTTTTTTATTTCATCAGCTAACATGTGTGCTCCTGTAGGGCACCCACTGAGTGACGAATTCACACTTCTCTTCCACTGTAAGTTACTGTTCACAACAGAACACTCTGTGCTAAAAAGCTTGTAGCATTTTACTATTCTCTTGTTTCTCGGCAGGACTCTTATTTATATAAGATTAATGCAGTCAGGCATTAGATGTATAAACCAGAAAAAAACAAACGAGGAGAAAGTTTTCACACTCTTCTTCATAGGTGAGTTCCGGAAATAGACACACAATCCAATATAACAGATTAAAATGAAATTGTTTAAAAAAGCAACAAAACAAACAAACCACAAACCAAAACAATCCCCAAAACAAACAGAAAACTTGCATCAAAACACATAATCTCTGGAAGACCCCCACAGCTGGAAACTAATGTCAACCAAACATTCACAAGAGTACTGTAGCCACCTAAACAGCCATTCCTCTGCTTTATCCAGAGCCTCTGACCAACACACGCAGCCACAATTCAGCCCCTTGCCTTCCCTCACCCTCCTCAGGTAAGGAATCGACACCAACCTGCAGTTGGGGGGTGGATCTAAGGTGATGTCAGCCAATTCCTTCTGAATCCTGTGGCAATAAAAGCGAGAAGGAACAATGGTAAGTCACTTTGTGGGACAGCAGTTAACACATACACCTTACATACATATTGTCACCCTGTGTTTGCAACACTGCGTTAGAGAGAGGCGCTCTCAGCTGCAGCCTACCACCAGTCAAACACACTAAGCAAGACAGGCACCCTGTAATGGAGACTGGCAGAAAAGCAGACAGGCACAGTGCACTGAACTCAGACAGGTGCGCAGTTGTGTGCTCCCGTAAGGATGCCAGCCACACAGGGGCAGTGGAAAAAACTGTCTGCTTCACTCTGCCAACCAGCCTGTAAATGAGGGAAAACCTCTGCAAATGTGATGCACCAAGTGCTAGGAGGAAACGGCACTTTGAAAAGGAATTTTGTCTTGCTGGAGCGAGAGAAACAGTCATTGCCAAACTGCCTCCCCCCTTTCCCCCCCCAGCTTCCCATCATCATCCTGAGAAAAAAACACCAGCCCCAAGGGAGTGAATAACTGCACCATTCCCAAGGACACTTAAAGGAAGGTGAAGATCTGTTTCCAAGGCTCCTGCACATTCCTGCCTCCTTAAATTCTCCCCTCTCTTCACCCTCAAAAACCACACAACATCCCTGGGTCCCCTCCCTCAGGACTCCAGACGCTCCCTTTCTTCACCATGTTCAGACAACACCCTGTCCTCTCTGCCCAGACTATTCTGGGCTCATGCTGCTTTTGCCACAAAACGCCCAACCAGCTATCATCCCCTTCCCTGGAGTCCCATTACTGTCACTCAGGCTTCCCCTCCAGATTTCCCCACCCAGCACTCAGCCTGTCTCCCTTCTCCTTTAAGCTCAGCCAGCTTCTTTTGCCTCATACATGAGAGCCACAGCCTCTGTCAGATTAGGCAGCTTACAACCAGAAGGTTAAAACAGTTAAGGGCACAACATATAAACACCACTTGCCACTACCTATGTCACGTTTGCCATGGGAACTTGCGAAGTGGAGATCTGGAATAACCAAACCGCCTAAATTCCACAAAGCCACAGAGAACTTAGTTGCATTTGCATTTAACCTCTGTCACTTTTAACACCTACAGATACACCCTTTCTGTGCTGCCGGCAAAACTGTTCAGTGAGGCAGTTTATTGTTCTTGCTGAAGTACTGCAAGTTTGCTTGGAAACTTCCATTTGTCAGTTTAGCTCCCTGGAGCAAGATGGTGTTGAACCAGGAGAAACACAGAAAATGGGAAAGGGTAACTTTTAAAACCTAAGTGGTTCCAAGAGTCTGTCCAGGTGAAGAAATCTGACTGACGTAGCTGTTCTGAAACTACTGTTCTATGCAGGCATCCCTTCCCCGTGCACACATTATTCCGGACTACTTCAGAGCAGAATGTCCACAAGCAGACCTGCTGTGGATTATTTATCCCAGTCGACATCCAACCATACACATAACGTTCAATATAAGTGATGATCAGACAGCAAAACAGTAATATTTGGTGGAAAAGATTTAGGGCTATCTTACACCACTTGCATTCAAGTGCACTCCCCCAGAGCAAGCAAACTCAAAACTCTTCACAAACATTAACTGATCCCCAAAGAAGCAAAAAGCCACTCTAGATCAATCCCAACCTACAGAGGGGGAAACTGACATCAAAATGCAATGCCTTGCTCAGAACCACATAGCTTCCGGCAGCAGAGAAGGAATTAAGGTCCTACGTGCCAATCCTACACCATCCCTATAAGTGATGCCAATAAGGAAAAAGGAAGAAACAGGGGAAATAACTGAGGGACAGAATAACAGCCTGGAGGAAGAGAAGGCAGTAAAATATTTGGGATGGAAGAGGAAGAAGCAGGAAGAGAGAGCAGAGAGCAGTGAAGTTGGGCAGACACTTGCTGCACCAAGAGTCTGAAAAAAGTGAGACAATGCCAGCTTCGTGTGGAAAGGCTGATCTCGAGGGCTAGAGATGAGGAATGGCAGCAGCAAGGGAACAGTGGGAACAGATCAAAATACAAGGAAAAGGGAAAGAAGATGCAGCAAATCGGTGAGAAAACCAACTGCAGCCTCACCTCTTGGCACTGGTAGATAGCAGCTTAGAGTTTTTACTCATGCTGACTTTGCCTTCCTTCTTCTTAGGCGTGCTTGTCTCTTTCTCTGTCTGTTGGTTGGAGGATGAAGATGAGGAGGAGCTGGTGCTGGCCCTCGAATCGTCATCCGACATAGTGACCCCCCCACCACACACCCCAACCTGGAGAGGAGACACCATGGGGCGTGGGGAACAAACAGTGAACACAAACACACAGAGACAGGCTGCTGACAATCTCGCTCTGTGTTTGGGCCATGCTCCTTTTAAAGGGTCCTTGTGTCTCCCTCTCCTCCTCAGGCCCCCATGGTCAAAGCAGCAGGAGCAGTAGCCTCCCCTGCACTAGTAACACCAAAGATCAGGAGGGGAAAAGAGACTTAAAGCTTCCTCTCAGAAAGCATGTGCAAAATGGGAGAAGAGACTGGAAGGAGGACAACTGTGAGGATCAGGGAAGCTCAACGCAATTCCTTCTAATCTCCCCCAAACTGCACACACAAGAGGAGCCATCACCACCCACCACTATCCAGCCTAGGGGTGTAGGAGATAAAAATGGAACAGCTCCGGTCCCTGGGGTTCCCGGGAGGCACGTGGGGGAGGTGGGAAGGGATGGGGCTGGAGGGGAGTTGACCGTTGAAAGCACTAAAATGGAAGTGGGGCATCACTGGCAACAGGGGGGGAGACCCCGAACCAGGACCTGTGACCTGCGGTGGGGAAACCCGTGCCTGCTGGATTGGGTGTTGGGAGCGGGGGGGGGAGGAAGGAAGAGGGGGAATAAATGGGCATGGCTAAGCAGGGAGTCGAGTGCATGGAAGGGACCCTCTGAGGCCCTCTGCACCGAGGGACATACCAGCAAAGGGGGAAGGGAACACCGGGTCTGTGCTGAGGAGGGTGCCAGGGGGGAGGAGAAGGGCCAGGGCCTACAAGGGATGAGAGCAGAGGGCCTGGGGAGGCCGGTGGCAGGGAGAGTGCCGGGGGGTGTCGGGGGGAGACAGCCCAGTCTCATGCGAGCACCTAGGGGGCACAGTGCAGGACAAACACGGTGGGGTACCAAGGGCAGGTCCGCACCCAAGAGAGGCGAAAAGGCGTCGAGATGGAGGGGGGGGGGGGGGGCAGGCAGGGCACCCCGGGAGAGTTAGGGCGGCAGCGAGGGGGGCAGCCGCGGGCCCGGGGCGACCGGCGGCGGGGCAGCAGCTCCCTGGGGGGCCGGAACACGGCCGCTTCTCTCCCAGGGCCCCCGGCGAGCCCCCCATGCCCCCACCGGACCGCCAGCGCTGCCGCCCCTCCTCCGGGAGCAGGGGGGCCCGGCCGAGCTTCCCCGGCCGCGGGCCCGCAGGGCCAAGGGGGACAGCGATACCTGACAGCCTCGGGCGCGATCCCCCTGCCCCACCGGCTCTGTCGCCTCCCGCCCCATCGCCGGGCCGCGGCCGGCCCTGCCCCTCGCCCCTACCCCCGCTGGCCGGCAGGGAGGGCAGCGGGGGGTTGCCCCGTCCCCCTACCTCTCCCTTTGTGTCTGGCTGCTCCTCCTCGGTGCGGCTGGGCCTGGCCACTCGTGTCTCTCTCGCTGGGAGAGAAGCGGAAGTGCTGCAACAGCAACTATTAAACAGGCAATGGCTTCCCTGGCTGCTCCCCCACCGCCGAGCGGGGCTGAGGGGCGGCGGGGCCGCGACGCACCCGCTGCCTCATGCGGGGCAGGGGCAGGGGCCGGGGCCGGGAGGGGGGGGGGCGTCCCCGCTGGCACCGCGTGTCCCCATCCTGCTCCAGTGGGAAAGGGGCGCCTGGAGGGGGCTGGAGTTTTTAATGGAGACCCTCTGGAAAGTAACCTGCAGGGGTGTCGGGGCGGCGGGGGGATAAACGTCCTCCCCGGCTCTTCTGCTTCCGTGCAAGAGCCCCTCAGGGACGCGGTCGAGGCAGGTGGCTGGGAGCGGGGGCAAGCTCCCGGGATGCTTCTTTAATGCTGAGTGGGGCTACCAGGCTTCGGGGGGTGTGTGTGGGTGTGTGTGTCTGTGTTTGTGTGTGTGCTCGCTTTCCTCTTATTCTTACAACTGTTTCAAGCCCAAAGCTTATTCCCTGCCTCACCTGCTTTGTTCCTTCAAGAACAGCAGCAACTTCTCACCTGTCTCAGCAATAAGGGGGAATTCGGGGGGGGGGGGGGCGAGGGGGCCGTGGTGAAAAAAAAGAGCCCAGCCCAAAGAAGTCGCCCCCCTCGGCAAGTCGAAAGGAATCCCCGTCATCTTTCCCCGTCTCTCACCTGTTTCAGCCCCAAAGCAGCAGCTGTGTCCTCCCTTCCCTCCCTCGGCTCGGCGCCGAACCCGCAGCAGGAGCAGCCGCTTCCCACTCGCCCGGAGTTCAGGATTCCATTGTCCCCCACACTGCACTTGGTGACATCACTGACACACAAAGAAGGGGCACTTCGTGATGTCATCAACGCATGCTGGGAGAGAAAACAAAAATCCTGGGCTTGGCAGCGGAACCGGGAAAATCCCCCTTCAATTTTCCGAAGGTTCAAGTATTAGGGATTCTTTCCCCACCTCTCTTTTATTTTCCCGAGTCCCCTGACGGGGAGCTCGCCTGCGGGAAGGGCGCAGCGGCGTATTGTATTTGCGAGACATTTTACTCATCTCCCCGCACCTCTGCCTGTCGCTCTCTCCCTCCCTGCCTACCCAACGGAGAAAAAACATTTGGCCGGAGCGACCCGCAGCCCGCAGCACGCACGTGGTCCCCCCCTCTCCGTATGCTCCCGCGGCGCTGCCGGATCCACTCGTGAACGGACAATGGGGACCGGCGTTCCCACCGACTTCCCCTGGGGCACTATTTGGCTCGGTGCCGCCGATCGAGGGGGTCGTCTGTCGCATTGCTCGGTACCTTCAGTGGCCGAAAATACAATGACTGTCAATACCGCACATCCCGGTAATGGACGGGAGTTTGTATTGTCGCTCTTCCTCCCGAGGGAGGACCTCGAGGTGATCCCCAGGAGCACGGCTTCTGCCTCGACAGACCGCTGTCATGACATGACTCCTTGGGAATCCCGGGGACTCCATGGCAAAACTGAGGCCGCTGGAGCGGCGGGGGACCCCGGGGAAAGGAAAGGACATCCCGGGGCTGGACTTTTCATAGCGACTGGGAGGTCGGGGGGCAGCCGAGAGGGGCTCCTCCTAAAACCCTGGCTTCCCACCCCACGCTGCCAGGCGCTGCCTGCTCCCGGGAGCCCCCGGTTGGGTCGGGTAATGGATGCCTGTAGCTTCTTTTGGGGACCCTTGGGAACTGAAGAAAAGGGGTGTTAGGCCAGCTGTAAGCCTGGGGATGCTGAGTCTCTCTGCAGTGGGACAGCAGCTTCACGCGTTTGTGACTCACCACAAGGTCGTGGCACTGATCTTTCAATGTTTATATCCAGTAATCCTTGAGCCAGAGGTGCCCCTGCAGAGGGCACCCACACAGGGACAGTCTTTGTCATTCTCCTCTGTTTTCCTGGACCTCTGCATTTGCTGTTTCTCTCCACATTCTCACTCTTTCTCCCTCCTCCCCCATTTTCTGCCCCTCATTTCTCCTAGGTCAATACCCAAACTACATACAGTCCCCACAGACTTGCTGCGTAGTCTTCCATTAGGTTAAGCATTAGCTAGGCACACCAGTGACACTGTCAGAGTCACCCTGACAAAAGAGGGAATTCCATTGAAGTGTCACACTTCCTGGTCTTTGGGGGGTTTGTTTTGGGGGGTTTTGGAGATTTTTGGGGGTTTTCTGCTAACCTTCCTCTTCAGTCTTTATCACCTGTAGTACCATGTGTTAGGCCTGCCTTGGTGAATTATCCTCCAAAAGCTTCCTGGCAGAGCCAACCTGTGCAGTTTGACCTGTGGGAATAACACTTGAGAAGCCATGATCATCCTTCCCTTCAGTAGCTGTGGAGCTTTGGCATCTCTCCCATTGACAACAGCCTCAAAGACACATAATAAATGTAACGAAAACAGGCATTTACATAAAGGCAGGTGATCTGATCACTTCATGCCCCTCACTGATGAGAAGGGGCAGAATTCAGCTCCTATGTATTTAACAGCAACCAGCCATTCTGCCAGCATTCTCCTAACTACCCCAGTGGGCTGTGGAGGATGGGGCTGGTGATATAGTGTGGTACATGCCAGGTGACATGCAGATGAGAAGACACCGAACAAGGTGACCAGGCTTCATAAATTTCACTGCTTATAGAATAGCTTTTTTAAAAACAGAAAATCTTCACTTTCATCACAAACACACCTTCAGCCCTTTCCTGTCAACACAGGAAACCTGTACCAAAGTCAAATGAGACAACTGATGTTAATAATGAAAGCCCTCTACTTCTATTGTAAGGGGCAGGGAAAACTTAGAGATTGTTACAATATCACATACACCATTTTCCTTTATTATGCTAATAACCTTGGTAGGGGATTATCTGCAGACTAACCTTTTCTGCAGCACACAGTCCTTGGTAACCCTGTTCAAAGTAACATTATGATAAGCAGCAGCAGCAGTTATTTACTTTGAAGCCTACCCAAAAATGCATTTGCTGAAAGCACCTAGTAATGTCATCGCTTAAGCAGCTGTTACAGTGGCAACTCCCATTTTATGACTCACCTCCTAGGTCATGGCTAGGACCAGATAATGGGCTGTTCTCCTGTGCTACCCGTAGCCCTGAAGAGAGAGGAGCCAAGAAGTCGACTTCTATGGCCAGAAATGTTTTTTGCAGCTTGCCTTGCTCTCACCCACGATTGTCCTCTCAGCCCTGCGTGGACACTGAAGAACTGGAAGTGAGTGTAGAACATGATCCTTTTTCTAGCAAACAGGAGACCGAGCTCCCCTAGTCCAATCTCTTCCCATTTGGGGAGTTTTGACAAAACCTCACTTGATCTGCTTCCTTTTCTGTGAAGTGTGCGCACTTTATCAGGTGGACTTTCCTTCTTATCAGTGCCTTCTCTGTCTCCTTACTTTCCTTTATTAGTTGAGGAGAGGACTTGCAGAGAAAGACTGACCCAGATTATTAGTTTTCCCTGTGCCCCAAGTTTTTTTAATTTATGACACTAGCTCAGTGTAGCGGCTGAATAGGATTAGTCACTTTTCCCTCTGGATCAAGTTTGGAGGAGGCTGCAAAGCTAGATGACTGGAATTGAGTTGCCTTTGGGGCTTTGAGCTTAATTCACAACAGAAGCTAGCCAATTCAAATCACTGTGAGCCTCCTGCTAAAGGAAGGTGACTGGGATTAGTCCTGTTGTGCCATCTCAGTTCCAGATATATTTTCAGCATTATTCCTGGCTGGTGTGTTTGAGGCTGAGCCAAAGCCCCTTATATTTCCACAAATTCCAGTGAGTTTTGCATCAAGCCTTTTGTGGGTGTGCAGAAATTAAATGGTCATCTGTTTGGCTCTCCTAATGTCAGCTTGCTGATAATGTCAAGCTTGCTGATATCTCACACAGTCCTCTGATGACGCACTGTCTTTTTGTGTGACCCTGTAATACAAGGTGAGGTAGCAAGGAAAAGCTACTATAAACTCAGGACTTATGACACAGCTATTTGAATAAAGTTAATTGGGCCAAAAGAGGAAGGAACTGCATTCAAATGAGAGCAAATGTAACAGTCAAAACACAAGTGGCTCATTTATGTGACATAAGGGTAGTGAATTTACAGGGTCACCCTTCAGTTTCCTGCTCACAGTTATCCTGCCATAACTTAATGATGCAGTCCAGCTTCCCTTGCTGTAATTTTCTCATACAATACAGCTCTTAGTCCTTAGAGTTACATCTTTTTCAGTTTCTCACAGAAGAATGAAAGGGTCCACAAGCAGAAAATTACTTGTTTCCTCTCCTTTTATTCCAGTGCTAAAGAGGACTTGGTTGTGGAAGCAAAGTTCAGGCCTCATTGTTAGACCCCTGCTATTTGCTGCTTGGTTTTAGTTTCTTTTGAGACTAGTCCTAGGAGCTCTCTGAAGGCCTTTCGTAGAGCCTGTTGAGTGGGCAGAAGGACTTGAGACCTGTTATGTGTTTTGGCCTTGTTAAAGTCCTGGTCAGACTCCCACAGATGTGGAGAGTGGCTGGCAATATCAATTCTGAAAGCTTAAGCAGGGAAGCATAGCTGCATATAACTACGCATATCTTCTAATGTGTTTCTTTTATGCGTGTCCTGGTATATGGTCTGGTTCATTTTGGTCACTGAAAACCTGAAGATGCTGAGATCAATTCAGCTTCACAGCATTGTAAGAAATTTCATGAGATGTATTTCCGGGGGTTTCTGCCTTGCTTCCAGTGATGAGATTGAGCCTTAAAATTGCTTTTCCTTGAAGATACAATGATTCACTGCTTTCTCAGTTTGCCTGATATATAGCTAGTTCTTGGTGATCAGGATTGAGAGATACGGGATGCTTTCCCTGTCTATGTCTCTAGCAGTAACTCCATATTTCTGATCTTCATTTTCTCTCCTGTAAAAGAAGAGAATGATGTTAATCAGGAGTTAGACTGAAAGTGTCAATAGAGGTGCACATACAGACTTCACTCTTAGCCACTCATTAGGCCTTTCTCTTCCTTCCTTTTGCACCTGATGGATCTGATTTTCTTCAGAATGCTGCCTACCCAGTGGTCCCTTGCAGCAGCTGTCTCTGTTTTTCTTCTCTGTCTCTGCAGCACACAGGCTCCCTGGATTACTGTATTCCATACTCCTTGACTTTCTGGCACTGCATGCTTCCCTAGTTCAGAATGTTTTCCTATTTCTGCCTCTTTTTCAGTTTAGAGAAACTGCTGCTTTATTGATTGTGATCAGCTTTCCATTTCTACATATCGCTTTTCCTTGGCAGCAATACTCAGGTCCAGAAGAAACTCAGAGAGTGGAATGGCTATATTTGATTAAGCAGTAGATGGGCTACCATCAATCACTCCTGCCCAGGGCAATTGCATCCTTGTTGGCAAGAGCCTGGGAGAGCTGAAAGGTGTTGGCCAGCAGGACTTAGTCAAAAGGACTCCTGGAGGCAATGGTAATGAGTAAATATGCAATTTTGCCATTCTGATGCTAATTTTCAGGAAATCCCTGTGGGAGTGGTGAGGCATTGGCACAGGCTGCCCAAGGAAGTTGTGAATGCCCCATCCCTGGCAGTGTCCAAGGCCAGGTTGGACAGAGCCTGGGGCAACATGGTGTAATGTGAGGTGTCCCAGCTCATGGCAGGGGGATTGGAACAGGGTGATCTTAAGGTCCTCTCCAACCCAAACTGTTCTATCATTCTATGATTTAAACTTGTCTTCGTTCTTTATTTGTCACCACTATATGGCCAATGGTAATTGCTACTGCTGGACCAAATCCCTAGTTGAAGCTTTCCACTACAATAATAGGTGGTTAGGTTGTGACATTCCTATGCTGGCATAATACCAGGTGTGGCCCAGGAAAAGCTGGTGTAAAATACTGTTTGACCAGCGCAAACTCCACCTCCTGATGTTGCATTTTGCCTGTACAACTGTCTTGCCTGCACAGCTATCCTAGTAAATCTTTTTCTGGCGTAAGCTTAACTTCAGAGTGTTTCTGACTTGCAACAGAATAATCAGAGTGGAAAGCTGCTAGGTATGGCTTATTAATAGTGTACACTCAGTTTATGCCTCTGCCTTTGTAGGGTGCTTTGATAAATTCAGGTGAAAAGGACAGTGTTTTTCATACCATCACCAGAATGTTACAGGTTGACCATAGACTACGAAGATGTACCCTGGAAAATCACGTATTATGGAGATGCATATCTGCAATAAGACAAATAAAATGTCAGTCAGTCTATTGTACTGCACGGGCTATTTAAGAACTCAGTGATAAGTGGACAAAGTTATTTTTCTAGTATCCAAGACAAAAAGGTTTCTCACCGTATAAATAATAC